GCGTGGCAGCCCCGCGCCCCGGCCGCACCACGTGTCCGCTGCCCTTCGCCGGCACCCGCAAAGATTCGGTTTCCCCCTTCCCGGGCCGCTGTAATTGTAAACCGCCGGGAGCCCGGGGCCTATATTTATCGAGAAACGCGTGTCCCCAGGGCCGCTGTGAGCGCAGCATCTGTCTGCCTCCTGGAAAAAAAATTTTTTTAGCCCCCCTTTGCCAGGGGATTCCCTACTTTAATTTTTATTTTTAAGCCCCAAGCTAGGACAGCTGGAGAGTACAAACTCCAGGAGAGGGCCATATTGTTTTTGAAAGCCTTTTGTCTTTGGGGCTTTTGCGGTTCCGTGCAAGCGTTCCCGCACTCCCGTCCCGCCTGCTCCAGCCTCTCCCGGTGTCGCTGGTGCCACCTGTGCGCTGCGGCGCGGGCCACGGCTCCTCGGAGCCCCTTTTGTCCTGCAGTGAGCCCTGTAAGAAGTCCTGGCGGGGCTCGGGGTGGTGGGGGGTGGGGAGATGAACGCTGCGGCCAGCAGCTACCCCATGGCCTCCTTGTACGTGGGCGACCTGCACTCGGACGTCACCGAAGCCATGCTATACGAAAAGTTCAGTCCTGCGGGGCCTGTGCTGTCCATCCGGGTCTGCCGCGATATGATCACCCGCCGCTCTCTGGGTTATGCCTACGTCAACTTCCAGCAGCCAGCTGACGGTGAGTAGAAACTGTCTACACAGTCGGGAGATTCCGGGGGGACCTGTAGGCGGAGGCCGATCTGGCTAGAACTGGCGAGGAACGTGACAGCATGTTGCCAGAGAAGCCATCGGTGGAAGCAAGTGCTTGAGAGCCGAGCCTGTGGTCACGACCCCGGCTTCCAGCCTTGCCTCTACCACTCGCTAACCTGATGACCTTGGGCTACTGGGTGGGGGTGGGGTGGAGTGGGGGTTGGAACGCCAGGAGATTGTAAATTGGGATCTGAATGAAGTGACTGGACTGATCTAGTGTGTCCAGTCCTACTCAAGCAGAAGTGGGTCTGTTGTAGACCCTGGCATGGACTGGCACTCCTCGATGGCTTGAAGCAGCGCCCTCCAAAAGTGTTGGTTGCAAAGCCACTGATCCTCCCCGCCCCTTAACCTGTCCCGAGTCTTGATTTTTGTGTTGATTAGGGTGACTGTAGGGCAGTGGGAAGCAAGGGAGACAATTTCATGCCTTAACCTTGAGGGCGCCTTTGCTAGTGTCGCCGGCTGCATCTACCCGCACCCCCCCCCCCCACGTTTGCCACACACAGTGTTTTGGGGACTTTTCTCGGCTCTGTGTGAAGCTCTAGGCTGTGGGGGACGGTGCCTAGGTAGTCTAGGGTGGTAGTCACTTGAAATCTCCTGGGCACTTAGTTAATCGCCTCACCTGTGGGTGGTGCCTTATGATTGTCGGAAACCCCTTGTGACGGAAAAGAACCACACCAAGTTGGGCTCCCAGTGCAGTGTCCTGCCGTCCCAGGTGGAGTAGTGGAGACTGCAGGCAAACCTTGGATAAGCCCTGGAGAAACCCAACCGGGGGCTGCACGTGACTCCGGATTAAAAGGGAGCAACTGCAGAGACCACTGATGGGGGAGGGGTGGAGGCAGGACACAAGCCATCCTGTGGCCGAGGATGTCCAGGCCCCTGTTTTCCTTCCATTGATGAGGCAGAGACTTTTCTCCCCAGTTTGCAGCTGAGACCAGGGAATTGGTCTAATGGACTACAGGTATTTCTATTGTCAGAGTACTTAGAGGCTAATCCTAGTGCTTGTCCGTGGAGGTATAAAGAGGGGGCTTTTTTGTTGTTGTTGTTTATCTTAGCAGGGGAGTAATGGAGTCCCTTAGCTGTTGCCTTGCTTTCTTGACTTCTTAACAAAAGTTGTGTCTCTTAGAGATAGCAGAAGCCATTGGTTGGTGTGCCTGCCAGCACATACCTCTGTAGGACTTTCTCCTTGCTATAAATAAGTGTAGCCCGATTTGCCAGCTTACCAACTCCTGGTGCTGTCTGAAATAGATCAGGGATTGTGTTGGGATGGGTTCCTTTACTGCTGATATAATGGAATAGTTTGCAGACTTAGGGATAAGCTCCAACCGGACTTTCTCTGAACTGGCTTGTTTCCCCTCTGCCCAGCCACAGTCCCCAGCCCCCAGCCCCCATGAAGATTTAACGCACATGCTATGGGCAAGGTTGGGAGTAAATCCTCTTGGCTGATTGGATAGTTGGATTTGTTGAGCAGTTTTAGGGAGCTTTCCCCTTTCTTGGTAATGCTAGGGATTAAAGCCAGGGTCTCAGCCTAGTGGGCAGTTGTCCTACTACTAGGTCTATTGCTCGTCTTTTTTGTTTTGTTTTTTAGACAGGGTCTCTATGTAGTCCTCGCTGTACTGAAGCTCAATTCTTCTTTGGCTTTTTTGAGACAGGGTTTCTCTGTGTAACAGTCCTAGCTGACCTGGAACTAGGACCTTGTAGACCTTGTAGACCAGCCTGGCCTCAAATTTACAGAGATCCTCCTGCCTCTGCCTCTCAATGCTGGGATAGAGGTGTGTGCCACCACCACCAGATGAGCTCAATTCTTAATGTGAACCAGGCTAGGCTAGCCTTGAACTGGGGGATCACCTGCCTTTGCCATATGGCAAAACCTCCTGGGAATACAACACACCCCAAATAAGAGCCCATGACAGAACAAAGCGTGGATACCAGTGAAGATACCAACAAAAGCCAATGAGTTTTATTGGGGTGACTTGCAGGAATGTGGGTGAGACAGCTGCATGACCAAAGCCCACTGCAGTGTGTGTGTGACCACTCATAAAGCTGAAGCCCTCTTCTAGGCTGCTTGGCTGGTTTCTGCTTTTTCTAGGCACCTGGTCCACTCTTAACATTTTTACAGCTCTTCTCTTGAGCAACTTGGCAGCTTGGCTTCCTTCCCACTGGAGGAGGGGGTGACTTTTAAATTTTTTTGCAGGGAGTGCCCTAGTGAATCTGATCAGTTTTAGGGACTTCCTAAAGCCATTTTGAGCTGTTTCTGCCTTCTTGCATATGTAGCTTCTTTCAGGATGGAATATGTTTTAATTTGGGAGGAAATTTACACAGCACAGCTGGGAACCTTACGTAGCCCAGGCTGAGCTTGAACTTGTGATCTTCCTGTGCTGAGATTTTTTTTTTTTTTTTGGTCCTTCACTGTCTCTGTGGTGCCTGGTGGGCTTAGTAGGGCAGCTGAATTCCTAAGATTCTCTAGAATTCTGATTAAACCTTTGAAAGGTCTAGGCGCCCAAAGGCATTAGGGCCTATCTGTACTATCTGTGCCCTCAGATAAAGGTTGTGGCAGTTTACCCTGCCACAGTCATGCTGAGAGCGCTTCTGTTTAAACTGTGTGTGTGTGTGTGTGTGTGTGTGTGTGTAAAGTTTTGTGCAAAAATAGGCAAGGTGTGGTGGCACACACTCTTAATTCCAGAACATGGGCAGATACAGGTGACTCTGAATTCCATGATCTATACATGGGATCCAGGACAGCCAGGGCTGTGTAGAGAGACTCTGCCTCATAAATAAACGAAGAAAATACAAAAAACTGGATGGAGTCTCTTGTTAAGTTTCTCTTAGTTGCCCTGAGTGTGACAATTGGCTACTCACATGGGGCAGGGTTGGTGGACAGCAAAGACCCTTGAACATGAGTATATAGTCCATGGCTGAGGACCTTCTTTTTTAATCGGGTATTAATAGTTCAGTGATCTGGAATGGTGACAGTCTCTTGGTTGATGTTTAGCATTCTTAATTAAAATATGTTCCTCTTCTACAGCTGAGAGAGCCTTGGACACCATGAACTTTGATGTGATTAAGGGAAAGCCGATCCGGATCATGTGGTCTCAGAGGGATCCCTCTTTGAGAAAGTCTGGTGTGGGGAATGTCTTCATCAAGAACCTGGACAAATCTATAGACAACAAGGCACTTTATGATACCTTTTCAGCCTTTGGAAACATCCTGTCCTGTAAGGTAAGCAGTAAAATTCTTTAAAAAAAAAAAAGATTTATTTATTATGTATGCAGTGTTCTGTCTGCATGTATGTCTGCAGGCCAGAAGAGGGCACCAGATCTCTATAGATGGTTATGAGCATCCACCATGTGGTTGCTAAGAATGGAACTTAGGACCTCTGGAAGAGCAGCCGGTGCTCTTAACCTCTGAGCCATATCCCCAGCCCCAACATTGAATTATTTTAGTTGAATATTTACTGGATCTTGAAAACAAGATAAATGCTGTGGCTGGGTGTGGTATGCTCTCAAGAATGAGATAGGAGCTATCTAGGGCATTCAAACACAGCCTGGGGTGTAGAAAGACTCAAAACAAGATAATATCAAAGGGAGAGTGTCTTAGAATTAGAGACAGTTGGGTGTGATCATTTTTTAAATGCTAAAATTGGAGCATCGCCCTCTTCCTTCAGTTCTAGGACTTGAACTTGGGGGCCTTATACATTATACATAATGATCTCGATCATATCGGACCTCCATTACTTACTCTTGGCTCGCTCCCTGTAATCCCGTTCCTAGTTCTTTTTGGTTTTATGAGACAGGGTTTCTCTGTAGCTTTGGAGCTATTTTTGTGGCTTTTCTGTCTTATATCTTTATATCTTTTCTGTGTTACCTAGTGCATTTCATTAGGGTTGTTCATAACTCCCTCCCCCATCTCTGCACAAAGCCTCTGGGGTCCAGCAAGCTTTATCCCTAGCCCTCTTTACTTTTCTTTGAGACACCTCACCAAGTTGCCTAGTCTGGCTTGAACTTGTGATTGTCATGAGTCTCTGCATCCTGAATAGCTGTTATTAGAGGTCTGCCATAGATGCTCATCCACCAAGCTGGATCCCATTCTGGGAATGGAATCCTCACAGAAGTACTTGTAGATCATCCCAACCACAGCCTCACATAGCCTGAGGAGGAGGGTGGTTGTTGTTTTGAGACAGGAGTACTTTAGCTCAGCTTGGCTTTGAACTCTTGTATGCGGTGTAGCCAAGGGTGACTTTTCTGACCTTCATGTTTCCAGCTCCCAAATGCTAAGATTACAGGTGTGTGCTCCCTGTGGTTGAGCGCAGGGCAGCATTCCAGGCTGCACTCTGCTGGATGATGGGGTGATGAGAGATGGCATTTTGCAGGTGTTTTCTGTGCTTATTCTCCACCTTCCCTGCCTTCATGTTACCTGCTTTTGGAAGCTTGAACAATTTTCATTTTGGATAAGGGAGGGGGAGGACAGAGGCCCAGTGTTTCCAGGACCCCTTACTCAGCCATCTCAGAGGCATTCTTTAACCTTCACGTGGTGCTATTTACATGTTTAAGACTGAGACTTGAATTCTTTTGTGCTTGAGAAGCAGTTTCTTCCTAAGCACTTTGGTTTCTACCCAGATCTCCTGGGTTGTTTTTTTCTTTCCTATTGCTTTGTTGCGCTGATAATTGAACCCAGGACCTGTCCAGTGCTGTGGGGGGCGCGGCTCTACTGTTGAGCTTGTCTCCAGCCTTCTCTTTAAATGCTTGTGGAGGTCAGAGGATGATTAACAAGAGTCAGTCAGTTTCACCTTGTGGACCCCAGGGAATGAACTGGGGCTGTAGGCTTGGTGGTGAGCTCCTTTACACACCGGACCACATACAGACCCCTTGTGTTTGTTTGTGGGTTTTTTTTTTAATCATTTGTTTTTGAGGCAGAATCTTACAATCCAGGCTGGGCTCCAAAGTGTTCTGTGTACTGTGGATGACCTTGAACCTCATCCGAGCTGTGGCTATCCCAAGTGCTGCTATTACAAGCTTGTCACCACACTTAGCCAGATTCTTTAAAAAAAAAAAAAATAATGAAAGTAAATTTGGAACAAAAGTCTACGCTCAGCTGGAAGCTCATGAGGTAGAGTGCTTGCTATACAAGAAAAGGATCTGAGTTTGTCCACATAAAAAGTGGACATGGGCATGCATATATGATACCAGTACTGGGGAGGGATATAGAAAACCTGAAACATAATTCCTGGGGGCTTGCATGCCAGCCTGACCTGACCAGACTGACTCCAAAAGAACCCCCTGAGGCTGACCTCACAAACATGTTTTTGGGTAGAAGCAGGCTAACTGTAAGTGGAGTACTCTCAGGTGCTGGTGCTGTGTGATGTTGGGTCACAGGAGGTCCCAGCTGGTACGTCTGGCGGATGCTCAGGTGGTCTCCCTCTTCTTCAACAGGTGGTTTGTGATGAGAATGGCTCTAAGGGTTATGCCTTTGTCCACTTCGAGACCCAAGAGGCTGCCGACAAGGCCATCGAGAAGATGAATGGCATGCTCCTCAATGACCGCAAAGTGTGAGTGTCCCAGTCTGGAGCGACAACCATCGCATGAGCCAGCCATGGCCCCACCTCGGTATTAACTGGCACACACAAGGCGGCTACTGGTTCTCTCGGCCCAAGTGTGGCCTGCTCCTACCTCTCCACTCCAGGGCTGGTGAGTCTCCCTGCCCGAGCCATGGCAGCCCTTTTGACTCGCCACGGTGGGCTCCCTGCCCGAGCCATGGCCTGCCTGCTGCCTCTCCCTTAAAGGCATTCATCTGTGGGTTTTGTGAGCATCAGCAACTGGGACTGGCTAGAAGACAGCTCTGAGCCTGCTCTGAGCAGGGGTCTTGGCCAGTGGCAGAGTGGAGAGGCCCTGGGCTGACCAGGAGCTGGATACTACTAGCTGTGTGACCTTGACTTTCCTATGACTCGGGTCTGCCCATAGGTCATTAAATTTTCCTCTACCTCGTTCTTCCTTCCTCTGAGCTGCGACTCCCATTTTACTGCATGCATAGTTTGCATACAGTGAAAAATACATCTCTTTGCGGAGACACCGCGTAACATCTTGTCATTACTGTGGGGTGGGGACAGAACTTAGCTGAACCATGTGGTGGGGGAGCGAAAGTACTGTTACATTTTGGCTATTGGAAGCAGCGATCATTTCTGTCCTTTGTGGTGTGGGACAGACAAGGCTGTGCTTATGTCTGTCGGGTGTGGAGCTATTTTCCTGGTGGAGTTACCAGGTGATACAGCAGGAGAGGAAAGGCTCCCGGTGACAGCCATCTCACCGCCAGACTACCCGCTGTTAACAGTTTGGTTTGTACCCTTCCAGACGTTTTCTATGCATTTACATAGATGCACAGAAATGAACATTTTAAAAACATGGTCGTCAGGTTTCTTCACGAAGGCAGTGTGATGTGGTAGGAGTGGCCCTGGTCTGAACCAGGGGCCTGGGACGGGTCCTTGCAGGACAGTCTTGCCTCTTTTTTTTCCTGCTGGGGACTTGGGCGTCTGAGCTTGTTCTCACGGTGGATGGGGCCCTGGTATTAACCTCTCCTGTCAGCCTTTCCTCTGTACTCCTTTGGGCCCCTGGAGGTCATGTCTGTTCCTTCTGAGTAAGCGCTGTGCGTCACGGTGTCTTTGTAGGTTTGTGGGCAGATTCAAGTCTCGCAAGGAGCGTGAAGCTGAGCTTGGAGCCAAGGCCAAGGAATTCACCAATGTTTATATCAAAAACTTTGGGGAAGAAGTGGATGATGATAACCTGAAAGAACTATTCAGTCAGTTTGGTGAGTTGGTGTCTGTAGCCCACATGTCCGTTTGTCCTGTCTGTCCATTGGCTCGAGAAATAACCTGTTCTTACTTAACAAGCAGGGCACTTGTCTCAGGGTCAGAGGGTGGGTAGGGTCCCGACCTTTTTCTCTCAGCTTCATCCTAGCTCCTTTCATCGTTTTTTTTTTTTTTTTTTTTTTAAGGCCAGGCATGTTAGCCTCTTTCTGCCTTAAGCCCATCTGGGCTCAGCCAGAGATTCCTTCAGTTTGAGTTACTAGCAAGAAATCTTGAGCTGTGGTAGAGATGGTGTCACTAATAGTTCTGTCCTTTGATAATAGGTAAAACCCTAAGTGTCAAAGTGATGAGAGATCCCAGTGGGAAATCCAAAGGCTTTGGCTTTGTAAGTTACGAAAAGCACGAGGATGCCAATAAGGTGAGTGTTCTGTGAGGGTGTGGCAGAACCTGTAGGTAGTACCTGGTGCCCGGTAGAGCCGAGCTGGAGTGGGCTGCCTAGTGGTGGGTGTGCAGTGCTATGGATGCAAGTCAGTTATTGTATCTGTTACATCACCCAGCATTTGCTCGTACCTGTCACTTGCTGTTGAAAGATTGGGACAGGTAGTTGTTCCCATTCTTGTAGGGGAACTGAAGCCTCAAACGTTGAACCTCTGCCTGTGGGTAGAGCAGTATGCTGGACTCTTAAGCTGCAAAGGGGCCTGAAAAGCCTATAGCTAGATTAGTCAAGACAGGCATCTGCCTATGTTTTATACAAATACTGGGTGTGGAATCTTCTCTCCCTCTCTCTTTTTTTGCCTTCTGCACTCAAATCTTTCCCAGTCCTGCTGCCTGGTGCCGGTTTGGGGACAGACAGTGCTACAGTAGAGCAGAGAATATCCAGACGGGTCGTTTTCCATTTGTCTTGGGGCCTGTCCCTACAGCTCTGCCACACTTCCTCCTGGGCAGTGAGGGCATTTGGAAGATGCTGGGGTTGGGAATTAAGACCCAGTAGCACAGTTAGATGCTAGCCCCACTTAGCAGATGAGTCTAGAGGTGGGACCCCAGTCACTCCAGAAGAAGACCCTCTCTCTGCACCTGCATTACAGACATACGTCTTCTCTCTAGGCTGTGGAAGAAATGAATGGAAAGGAAATGAGTGGGAAAGCCATATTTGTAGGCCGTGCACAGAAAAAAGTAGAACGTCAGGCTGAATTAAAACGGAAATTTGAGCAGCTGAAGCAGGAGCGAATTAGTCGGTACCAGGTGAGGTGGGCTTGGCATCTGTACCTGTCTGCCAATAAAGGTTATGGCCTTGGGTATGGAGGGCATTGCTGAGTAGAGACAGTGATTTCCAGTCTCTGTTCTGTTCTGAAAGTGTCTGCTCACTACTCTTTGCTGTGTGGGTTCATTTTTCTTAAACTGATGCCCCCTTTGTTAGCTCAAAGGTCCCTGAAGAGTGAGTGGTTGGCCAGGGCAGCTGTGGAGAAGGTGACGTGGCTGCATTGTTGGCCCTGGCAGTTTTAGGGCAGAAGTTGCTCAACTTGGGCTTGTAGAGACCGTGATTTACTTTTAACCCAGTCTGACCTGGATGGAGAAAGTCACAGTCTAGCTTAGGCTGACCTTGAACTCTCAGAAACCCTCTCTCCTTAAAACACTTTGACAGGTTCCCAAGCATGTTCTGGGGCTCACATTGGGAAGTGACTGTGTGTACAGGTGTAATTAACAGTGGTCCCTTCCCCAGGGAGTGAATCTCTACATTAAGAACTTGGATGACACCATTGACGATGAGAAATTACGGAAAGAGTTTTCTCCTTTTGGATCGATCACCAGCGCTAAGGTAAGGGTTTGGAAGCAGCACGTTCTGCTGGTGACGTCAGTGGATGTCAGTTAGTTATGACGGTGGTCCTGAGTACAGTGTTATTCCAGCATGTTCCTCCTTGCTTTGGGTGCCCCTGAGAGTCATGCTCTGGAGAAGTAGATGTGTGGTGTCTGCTTGCACTGGAGCTTGGAGTCCGGCCCAGTTCCTCCTTGTAGCCCCTACAGCACTCAAATCTTTCCCAGTCCTGCTGCCTTGTGCCGGTTTGGGGACAGACGGTGCTACAGTAGAGCAGAGAATATCCAGACGGGTCGTTTTCCATTTGTCTTGGGGCCTGTCCCTACAGCTCTGCCACACTTCCTCCTGGGCAGACTCCATGTGAAGGTTTGGCTGGGTAGCCATGCTTACATGGATGAGCAGTGGTATGTCCTTGGCACTTTGGGAACGTGACAGACTGCTGTGTAGAATGTGCACGGCCTGCCATAAGATACTGTTTGGTAGAGGATGCCACTGGTAGTGAGAAAAAGGGGACTGTGTGACTAAGTAGGATTTGGTGACCCTGCTCTTAGTGTAAACTGCTCTCAGGGTAGGGACGTTGTGCAAAGGATGTTACCATTTGTATTGTTATGGTTTTAAAGAGATAGGATCTCGCTTCGTTAGACCAGGCTGACCTCAAGCTCACAGAGATCCACCTGCCTCTGTCTCCTGGGTGCTGGGATTAAGGTGTGTGCCACTATATCGATCGAGCTGGGGTTATTCTGTTTAATTCGGGGTGTTGGCAAAAAGAACCCTGGAGGATGTGAGTGATTAGCCAGAGCAGCTGCGGAGGTGGCATGTGACTGCTTTGGTGCTGGCGAACTTTCCTCTTGGTGTTTTCACTTGGCTGGCCTGTGGGAGAATCCCCCTGAGGTCCCTGGTGCCGCTTTCAAGATCATGGCCGAGCGCTGTTTCGTGGGTAGGACATTGTTGAGCTGGCGACACTTGACTTTGGGCTGATGATGCCCGCACACACAAGACTCAGAGAAAGCAAGTGCCCTTTCGGACAGGGAAAGACAATAGTGGCTTGCTCTACAGTTGTGGAGACACAGGCTCAGAGGGCAGGTCAGACTGTTTAGAATCTGGGTTCCCTGGGTTCCAGGTCACTGCCTCCCACTGAACGGGTGACAGCCATTGGCAACCTGGAAAAAACTAAGCTGCAATTAGTTTGTTTGAGATAGGATTTCACAGCAGCTCTTGAGCTTCTGAACCTCTTCCCTCCCCAACCCGTGTGTGTATGTGTGTGTGCGCGCGTGCGCGTGTGCGCATCCTGGCCCCTCTAGTAGATGTGCCTCCCTCAACATGAGCTGCTCCTTTGTAGGTGATGCTGGAAGATGGAAGAAGCAAAGGGTTTGGCTTTGTCTGCTTCTCATCTCCTGAAGAGGCGACCAAAGCAGTCACTGAGATGAACGGACGAATTGTGGGCTCCAAGCCGCTGTATGTTGCCCTGGCGCAGAGGAAGGAAGAGCGAAAGGCTCACCTGACCAACCAGTATATGCAGCGTGTGGCTGGCATGAGAGCGCTCCCTGCTAATGCCATCTTAAATCAGTTCCAGCCTGCGGCGGGTGGCTACTTTGTGCCAGCAGTTCCGCAGGTGGGTCTGCCAGGGGACGGTGGCAGCTGCTTCTGTGTTCTTTAGCTGGGGGAGGGGTTTGAGGATACTGATGCTGAAGTAAGGAGACATTAACCTGTGATCATTTGGGTAGAGTGCCTTTCACTCATTAACTTGGGGCTTAGTAGTAAGGTGAGGGAGTCGAGGCTGGTGTGTTCAGGTTCTCAGGTTCTGGGTGCTCATCTCCCCTTCAGGCTCAGGGAAGACCTCCGTATTACACACCTAACCAACTAGCGCAGATGAGGCCTAACCCACGCTGGCAGCAAGGCGGGAGACCTCAAGGTAGGTAGCTGGAAGCAGGGGCTTCCTCACCCAGGTATACCTGTCCAGTTCCTGCTTCTGCAGCCCAGCCTCTGGCTTGTTGGTGACTTGTTGTCCCTGTCTCTTCGCCAGGCTTCCAAGGAATGCCAAGTGCTATACGGCAGTCTGGGCCTCGTCCGGCTCTTCGCCATCTGGCTCCAACTGGTAATGCTCCGGCCTCTCGTGGCCTTCCTACTACCACTCAGAGAGTCGGTGAGCAAACTCGCCTGCTGAGCATGGCCGGGGAGGAGGGAGTCAGGATGATTAGCTCTGCCCTGGCTTGGTCAGTCTGGGGCTCGTTTTCCTAAGGCCTGGTCCCATCTCTTAGCTGTGTGCTTAGGCAGGCTGTTTATTCAGGCAGGAGCAGTGACGAAATGAACCCTGGGTGTGTTGGTAACTTTGAACATTCCTGCTCACGGTGGCACGTGAAGGGTTAACCAGAAGTATTCTCTCTGGATTACTATACAGACCTGCTGTTGATGGGTCGGGGGACAAGGAACCGTTTAGAGTATGTCATGTTCTAATGTACAAAGACTTGTGTGGTGTCCTTTGGCCCTGTGAGGGACATGTGTGGTCATGTATTGGAGATTCTTTTTCCGTGGGACGTGGCCAGTTGGACATCCGCTGCCGACACTGATGCGCATTTGCTGGTCTGTTGTAGGGTCTGAGTGCCCGGACCGCTTGGCTATGGACTTTGGTGGGGCTGGTGCCGCCCAGCAAGGGCTGACTGACAGCTGCCAGTCTGGAGGTGGTATTGGCTGCACACAGACGGGGGAAAGCTGGGATTTGACGGGCCTTTGCCCAGGCTGACGGGCTTTAATCATGCTTGTTCTTCCCACAAGGCGTCCCTGCAGCCGTGCCAAGCCTTGCACCTCGTGCCGCAGTCGCTGCCGCCGCTCCCAGGGCTGTGGCTCCATACAAGTATGCCTCCAGTGTCCGCAGCCCTCACCCTGCCATTCAGCCGCTGCAGGTGAGGTCCACCACAGCCATAGAAGCGTCTGTCCTGTTTGTGCTCAGTTTTAAAGATGCCTTGGTTTGATTCCCTCACCAGGGTCTCCGCGCCTGCTCTGTCTCCACTGTGGTGATTCAGACGCTGGCCCTGAGAGCAACAGGCTTGAAAGCCTTTTGATTAGTAACAGTTCAGAAATAGCAGGAAGCAGCTGGTGCTTCCTGTCCCTTAAGACACCTGCCTATCAGCTCTGTGAGCCCTGACAACACTTTCACACCCAGTGACCTAATTGATCCTTGGTTTGGAATATAACGGCTGTTAGTAACTTCTGACTTAGAATTGAAACTCAGCCTCAGGGACACAGCTCAGCTGGCAGGTTTTACAAGGCTCAAGACCAAAGCCTTGCCTTGTAACCATGATGACCTGAGTTCAGATCCCAAACACACATGGAAAGCTGGACGCGGTGGTACCCCCCATGCTGTTGGGCCAGAGACAGATGGACCCTTGAGCTTGTAGTGAGTTTGGGAAGACCATGTCTTGGAAGTAAGGTGGCGAGTGTTTGAGGATATCTGACTTGGACATGGCACGTGCACACAGAAGGCTGGGCAGGGTGGGCCATCTTTGTAATGTCAGTATAGGGGAGGCAAAAACAGGATCCCTGAGGCAGATTCCAGGCCATAGAAAAGCTTAGTGGGGTGAGTGGTGCTGGAAGAATAAGACCCTACCTAGGTTTACCTTGGCCCCTTCACACACAAACACCCGAAGAAAAGGCTTTACAGAATGTGGAGAGCTTCCCTTGCCTAAGCTGTCTCCTTCCACTAAATATGAGTCAGGATACAACCAGTTCATTTCAGAGCTTGGTAGCAGTTGCTGTGCCTGGCCTTGGTTGTGCAAACAGATAGCTTCGGGAGTGTGAGCTGCTGTGTGGGTTATTCTTCAGTGTCTTCGTCCAGTCTCTAAAGTGGGGGTTGTCCTTCACCTGTAAGGCCTTTCAGGGCTCTCAGCAATGTTACTGTTACATGTTAATCATCCTGCATATATGTAAAAATCTGGTCCAGGACCTGGTGCTGAAGGAAAAAATATAGCTAGGATGTTGGTATAGCCTGCAATCCAGGCACTGGGGTGGTAGAGGCAAGAGTTGAAGGGTTAGGACTTGAAGGTCAGCACTTAGCTACATACTGAGTTCAAGGCCAGCTTGGGTTAAGAGAGACTACACGGTGAGGTATGTTTGGGCATGCTTAGATTCTCTGACTCCTGGCTTCGTTCACGCTGGAATTAACTAACGTAAAGGAGACCTTGACGAGGAGATGTGTACAGTTTACTGTGGAGCTGGAGCGTGCTTATTCCAGCCCTGGGGACTGCGGGTAAAAGGATCATCAAGAACTCCAGGCCAGCAAGACCACATGAAAAACACAAAATTAAGTTCCGTGTGGCCTGTTTTTACTGCAAGGACTTGAATTGTTAGGCGAGTGGAGCACCAGGCAAATGCTCACCCAGCATGGCAGGCTTGCGTGGTCAGAGGACTGTGACTTCTGACAACTCAACATTCGAGGCTGGTTCAGTTCCCCAAGGGCAGGATTAGTTCTTTAAGCACTAGACAGCCACTTCCACCATCTCTTCTTTTTCTCGTGGGTACATGTTCAAGTGTTCAGCTTGAGTGTCTTCCATAGTGCTAACCCACTATTGCTGGCTCACAGACACCTCAGCCTGCGGTCCATGTCCAGGGCCAGGAGCCGTTGACTGCCTCGATGCTGGCTGCAGCGCCCCCCCAGGAACAGAAGCAGATGCTGGGTAAGTGTCCAGTGCTTGTAGAAGAGCAGTGAGCCTGGTGCCAGTGGGATTGGATACCCTTGTGATGCTGACTGTTCTGCCCCCAGGGGAGCGTTTGTTCCCACTTATCCAGACAATGCATTCAAACCTGGCCGGCAAGATCACAGGGATGCTGCTGGAAATCGACAACTCCGAGCTGCTCCACATGCTGGAGTCCCCCGAGTCTCTCCGTTCCAAGGTGGGCTGCCTTTTATGCCCTGTGACATCAGGGCCCAGCTTCAGAGAATGGGCTTTGGGGTGTTTGGCGAATGCTAGGTTCTCGTCTGTCTAGACAAAGGTCTGTTGTCCCTGTGACCCCTCTCATGCCTCATCTGTGATGTGGGCTACTGCTGAAGGTGACACTGGGAGAGGCCAGGGAGAGGCAGGTGGCCCTCCTCCATCACTGGCTCTCGGGTCTTTCACAGGTGGATGAAGCTGTGGCAGTCCTGCAGGCTCATCATGCCAAGAAAGAAGCCGCCCAGAAGGTGGGCACTGCTGTTGCTGCTGCTGCTGCTACCTCTTAGACAAGGAAAAAGTAGGTTTGACAGTTGGGTTGGGTTGGGTTTGGTGTTTTTCCAGATAGGGTCTCCCATATGCCCTTAAGTTCACTCAGCCTCCAGAATGCTGGGATTAAAGGCATAACACAGCATCTACCTGTAATCCCAACTGCTCGTGTGGCTAAGGCCTTAGATCACTAGTGCCCAGTCTCGTCTGAGTGAGTTACACAGACGACCTCACCATCTCAAGGCCCAGCGCCCCCACCTTCCTGGCCTGAAATACTGACAGAAACAGCTGTAATTACAACATGAATCTGCTGCTGTCTGTACAGGTCTTCCCAGCTTGGCCTGAGGTTGCTTGTTTGTGTTTCTCTTTGATTCAGGAGTCAAAAGCCAAATAACCCCTCATGGCATTCAGCGGAGGTCTGAAGACTCCCTAGTTCGTCTGCGGACCTCCACACCAAGAACCACAAGTTGCAAATTCAATAGGTCATTTTGTATCAAGAGGTCAATTATGAAGCACCTAGAATTTTTCAATTAAGAGAATATATTCTCTGGGTTCTGCTATGGCCCGGGAGGTAACTTTTTTTTTTTCTATTTGTGGGTTTTGATTTTTTTCCCCCTCCCAGAAATTGGATTTAATGTACCCAAGACTTTTAAGTTTCTCAATAAAGAAAAAAAATCTCTATAAAACTAGCTGTCATATTTGTGTGTTGCCCTTGTTTTTACTCCATAATTTGGGGCTTTTGCTGACTGTGCTGTTAGGCTTTGAACATATGTGGAGGGCCGCAACCACATTCTCCATTGCTTCAAGGGACAAAGGTAGAGATTGACCTCTGTGACCTCAAGGTGTGGTGGTACACGCCTTTAGTCCTGATGCCTGGGAGGCTGTAGAAAGGAGCTGCGGGCAGGCCTGCTTTTCGCCTCACCCAGCTCCCGCACGGCTAGCTTAGTCCCAAAAATAACAACACACAAATTGTATTCATTTAAGCACTGCCTGGCCCATTATCTCTAGAGAGTTAGTTACTGACTAACTCTCATATCTTGATATTAACCCATTTCTAATAATCTCATGGTAGCACCACGAGGTGTGGCTTACCGGGAAAGATTCAGCATGTCTGACCTAGTGGCTGGCTCCATGGCGTCTGCCCCATTGCCCTCTTCCCAGCATTCTGTTCTGTTTACTCCGCCTACCTAATTTTCTGTCCTATCAAAGGGCCAAGGCAGTCTCTTTATTGACCAATGAAAATAACACAATAGACAGATAACCCTCCTCCATCAGGAGGCAGAGACAGGCAGATCTCTGAGTTCAAGGTGATGTAGCACACGCCTTTAATCCTAGCTCATGGGCTTGGTAACTCTCTACTGCTGCGTCCCTGCCTACTTCTGAGGCATCACCTGGGATAATGGGCAGCGGACCAATCCAAGAGTGACACGTCAGAAGTGAGGACTGTTTCCTTTATAAGGGCTGGGTTCCCCTCATTCTGGGTCTCCGCTTTGGAAGCTGATGCTCTCCCTCTCAAGACGCATTAAAGCTTTACTGCAGAAGAATCCTAAGTGCCCTGCATCGTTCTTGCTGGCGAGGCCGAGCGCGGGACAGAACATAGCAAATGAATTTACTTTAATGTGTGTGTTTTGTTTTTTAGAAGAATAGTACAAGGTTATAGCAAGGATGCCCCAAGTTAAATGTGGGGCTGGGAGGAGGAGCTTGCCTGGCACATACTATGTCATAGGCCCAATGATACGTGGAGGCCAGCTTGGCTCAAACATGAAAAAGTTAAGTGTGAATTGAACCAGCATAGGACGCTGGCTGCATCCTCATGACAGAGTCTACACTTGAATCTGGTAAGAGTCCAGGTTCCACTGGGGTAGCTGTGTACCCCAGGGGCGGGTAAGGTTTGTCCAGCTTCCTGCAGTCACTCACCCTGTTCACACAGCAGAAGATGCAGTGGCCCAGTTCCTGCAGCAAGGCTTCAGCTGTGGGAAATGCTCAGGAGTCCCCCGGTAGGAACACAAGTTATGGCCAAGGTCAGCTGTCTGTCCAGTCTTGACCTCCTTAGGGCTGTGGGTAGGTTGTCTCTGGGCGGACTCCTTTCCTTTAGGGGCTGGTCTTCCAGCCCAGACTCTCTGTCTAATAAAACAAAATTACTCTAATATTTCTGCATGCATTGAGGCTTAAAACCACTTGTAACTCCAGGGTATCCAAGATCTCCCTCCTTGGTCACTTTCACTCGTGCACACTCCACAGAGCTAACACTCCAGGCACACCTCTTTAATCCCAGCACTTGGGAGGTAGGTGAATCTGAGTTCAAGGTCAGCCTGGTCTACAGAGTGACTTCTAGGACAACCAGGGCTACACAGAAGCTCTCTCTTGAAAAACCAAAATAATCTTGGGTTGGTAAAGAAAGGTAACTGAGCCTCATGACCAACTGAACCATGATCTGGCTGTCACACTACACACACAAGAGACTGAAAAGTAGGCTATGAGCAGCTAACAGGCAGGGATTTTGATATGTGGGCACTTTGAAAATGCTTGAACAGGTTTGGTTGCAGTTCCGGAAGGTGGTTTTCACTGAGCTAAAACCGGGTTTTCCATTCAGAACTGCCCTTTTGGAGGCTGGGGGGCCAGGTAGGACTAGTTTCTTAGCCAGCTTCTAAGGATTCCATTACTCACATATGGCGCTTTAAACCCAATAGTGACCAGTCAAGCCAATGTTTAGAGCATGCTCTTCCCTCCGTTTCTGACTCTGAACCTGAGATGGCCTCAGAACCTTGAGGTGGGTTCTACCTGCCTCCCGCCACCATCCCCGGCTCTGGGGTTTAGGTGCCTGTCAGTGACTATCAGTACTGTACTGAGTGTCCTCGGGTTTGCAACAGCTGCTGTATCTCCTGAGCATCCCCACAGGAACACTTGTCCTTCTTGTCTCTAACTGGCATGGAACCCAGGCAGGCCCTTGAGCATACATATCATTTTCTTTATACATAATTATAATCCGTTTTTATGTATATATTTTATGCATGTATGTGCACACACATATATAAATATACACACACATTTTTTTCACTCCGCACTGGTTGAGAGAAAACAGGACATTACACCCCATTTACTCCTTAATTTTTAATTTCTAAATTTCATCTTTAGTGTCACTGTCGGCCTGGCTCTCAGCTCATGGCCTCTTCCTGTGTGCTAGGGGCAACAGTGCCCAGCTTTAATATGCTTTCTAAAAGCAAGTACAAAATTCCTTTAATTCCAGCACTCGGAGGCATAGGCAGGCAGATCTCTGAGTTCGAGGCCAGCCTGGTCTACAGAGTGAGTTCCAGGACAGCTTAGGACTGTTATATAGAACTCTGTCTTGAAAAACTAAAAATAAAAAACTATAAGTATAAACTCAATAGAGGGACAACACAGCCCTTTTCTGGCCCTGTTCAGACTTTATCTTCTTACAGTGGCTTTGGTGGTTTTCATCCCTGACTGAGGGTTCCAGTCTATGCTGGTCGGTATATCTCTTCAGTCCCCTTCATGGGAATCTGCTTCCCAGGTTCCTGTTGTCCTGTTTTCGAAGGTCCAGGGTTGACTTCAGTCATCCTGTGAGCGCTGCAGGAACACGGCAGATTAGTGTGTCCTGGGAGGAAGTGCAGGAGTGGACTCGAGCGTCTGCCATCACTTGGTTAAGGCCAAGTCAATGATGTTTCATGTTTGAGAATTTTTCAGTTTTCCCTCACAGGGCCTCACTGTTACAACTTGGAACTTGAGATTCTCCTGTCTCAGCCTGTCTGAATACTGAGATCACAAGGCCTACATCATGCTTGGCTTTTAGGGTTTTTTTTTATTATTATTAATTTTGAGTCAGGGTCTAAGTGGGTAGCCCTGATTGACATGGAACTGGCTATCCATAGACCAGCCTGGTCTGGAACTCACAGTCTCTTGAGTGCTGTGTGCTGCTATGCCTGTCTTTATGAAAGAAAGGAAGGAAGGAAGGAAGGAAGGAAAGAAAGGAAGGAAGGAAGGAAGGAAGGAAGGAAGGAAGGAAGGAAGAAAGAAAGAAAGGGAAAAAGGAAAGGAAAAAAAGATTAGCATGCTGGGTGGTTAAGAACACTTGCTGCCCTTGAGGACCTGGATTTGGATCCCAGCAACCACATGGGGGTTCACAACCTTCTGTAACTGGTTCCTAGAGATCCAGCGTCATCTGGCCTAGGAACATAAGAGTACACAGTCACAACACGCAGGCAAAACACCCGTGCACATGCTAAGTACATAACATTGCTGCCCCTTCAGCTCATGTCTAAACCTGTTCTATCACTGAACAAAATATGCAGTAGGATCATCTCTGGGGAGAACAGAGTACCCGACGGGGTACCTCTGGGGAGGACAAAATGCATGACAGGCACACCTGTAGGGAAGACAAATGCCCATCGGGAGCATCTCTCAGGAGGAAGTGTTCTTTTGGACCCGGATTTCACTTCATCACTGCAGGGAAGGCTTGTTCATGGCGAAGGAGCATCCGATGGGCAGGGCAGCATGAGCCAGCACCTGGGCAGACGTCACCATCAAAGACAGAGCCTAGTGAATCAGGTGCTGAGTCCCATACCCTAAAGATTCCCCCTCCTCCCAGAACAGTGCCCTCAGCTGAGGAACACGCTTCAGAGCCTTAGTGTGTGGTGGGAGAACTTCCAGCTCAAGGCATAGCAACCAATTCTGGCAAATCCTCAGTGGTTTGTTTTTGTTATTTTTTCAGATACAAACAAAAATGTCCTTATTTATCCTCCTCTATTCCTGCTTAAAACTGTAAGTGTTCTTTTCTCACTTTGCTGTATTGGTGTGGCAGCCTCTGGAAGTCAGTCCACGTCAGGTTCTAGGCGTCCATGGCAGACTGACCACTATTGACCCAGCCGGGGCCCTGTGATGGATGGCAGCTGGGCAGTGTCTGATGGAGTAACACACAGTGTGCACATTTAGAGCCACGCCAGTTTAGTCAGAATCCTCTCCTGAGGAGTTGTAAACAGTCTGCTCTCTCCTTAAACAGAAGTAGTCTACCAGTTCACCCAGAGAGTTTACCAGGCTTCATTACTAGGGGAGGGATTACGACAGGTGTGTGGTATATCCAAACAGCTGCAATAGAGACTCTGCTAACCATGGATGACTCCCTACAGTCACAGAGATGGACCCCACCCCACCGCAAACCCCAGCCTGTACATCTAGCACCTCCTGAGACTCAGCCCACAAGGCCACAAGCAATTAGGGCCGAATTACACACTAATGGCGACTGTGTGTGTGTGTGTGTGTGTGTGTGTGTGTGCGCGCGCGCGCGCGTGCGCGTGCATGTATGTGTCTTAATCTCAGGTGAGGGGACCTTGCAGTGTTGTGTGTGTGTGTGTGCATGTACGTGTGTGTCTTAATCTTAGGTGAGGGGATTGCAGTAATTTCCCAAATCCCCTCCAAATTGAAGGTGATCGAGTCCTGCAGTTGATCTGTCAAAGATGGGGGCTGCCTTGCCCAGAGGAAATGCATCCCACAACAATCTTGAGGGTAAATTCCTAGAATTAGAATTACTGGATCAAAGGGTCAAATTACTGTAAACAAGCTGTGGTGACGCATGATTTTAATCCCAGGACTCTGGAGGCAGAGGCAGATGGATCTGTGAGTTTGAGACCTGCCTGGTCTACAGAGTGAGTTCCAGAACAACCAGGGCTACACA